GGTATACCAGCATTATGTGATAGAATATAATACAACCATTAAAATAATATCTATGAAGGTTATGAAATAATGCTACGTGAAAGTGAAATAATAAGTAATGTATATGCTATCCTTGCATGTATGTAAAAATGTGTGTATGTGTATATAGATATATGCAAACACTAACCTAGTTATTGTGAATATTGAGAGTGAAATTGAAATTTTTAAGGGGCCAGCCCGGTGGCGCACTGGATACTGTGCCGCTTGGGAAGCGCGGCGGCGCTCCCGCCCGAGGGTTCGGATCCCACATACGGACCGGTTCCCGCTCACTGGCTGAGCGAGGCGCGGGAGCAACACCGAGGGTTGCGATCCCGTTGCCGGTCCCCGGTCCGGTACGGGGGCAACACTGAGGGTTGCGATCTGTTGCCGGACACGGAAAAAGACAAAAAGACAAAAAAAGAAAAAAAGAAAGAAAAGCATCTTTTTCTTTTTGAAAGAAAGTGGAATTAATGGGAGAGAGTAATTTTAGTTACAGCAATGTTAGGTAGGGTATTGAGATGGAAGGCCTTGGATCACCAGACTGTGGAGAAGTCTTGGGGCATAGATGAGAAGGAAATTACCTGGAGGAAAGAGAGATGCGAAATCTGAAAGGCAGTTGGAGAACTGAAAACAATATTGAGTTAATCTTTAGTTTTGCCCAGAGTCTTGTCCAGACTTTTTAAGATGCTTAAGATCTGTGAGAAGAAGCAGTAGTTTTGAGGTATGCAGCAATGTATAATGTGATCTTGCAAAAAACAAAGACCAAGAGGAAATAGAATTCCTCAGCTTGGTGTTTTGCACTGTCTGTTTCTGGAGACCAAGAAACAGAAAACAAACTTCTCCCTATCCTTCCTCTTCCCGTTGTTGTTGTTGTTGTTGTTGTTGTTGTTGTTGTTGTTGTTGTTGTTGTTGTTGTTGTTGTTGTTGTTGTTGTTGTTGTTGTTGTTGTTGTTGTTGTTGTTGTTGTTGTTGTTGTTGTTGTTGTTGTTGTTCTCCGTACTTTTACTTCCATAAGGAGCCAGCTCCTCTGTATATGAATGAGCCTAGAGAAATACTTCAGAAAGCTGCCTACAATTAGCTGGATATTACCAAGTCTGCATAATTTGTTTCATTATATTTCCTTTCCTTAATTTGTTAATCAGTATTATTTACACTTCTGTATGGTGTATCGAATAAGTTACAAATCAGAGGTTTTCTACTGCTTTGCAATTCACCATCTTCTGCTTTAGGAAAATTTGGTGACAGTTTTTAGTTCTCTTTTTAATCTTTGAGTATGTGGGATCACTTGGTTGACACTGATAGCTGAAGTGGTTCGGTTATCCTCAGGTTTATCCATTCATAGAACTATGCTACTATGAATGCTTTCTCTTGTTTTCATGTGTGACCATCCTTCTGCCTTATAAGCCATTGCTCTCTTCCTTCCCACAGCTTGGCTAATTCCATGTTTTCAAGACTTAGTTCAAGCATCACCTACTTGAGGACCTTTCTGCTCTTTGGATTGGGTTAAGTGCCCCTCCTCACTAGCAAAACAGTAGCATCTTGTGCATAGCATTTATCACATTGTTTTGTAATCATTTGTCTTTCTCCCAGGACTATAAGCTCTCTAATACAGGTAGTACATCTTTCACTTACCTATCTCCAGTGCCTAGCCCAGTACATGAAACATAGCAGGTGCTCAGTTTTTGGTTGTATAAATAAGAGAAGGCAAAGGAATCATTGTATAAACATTTAAAATAAAATTAGTAATGCATTTGTTATATTCTACTATTAAAGAAAATCTGAAAACCACAAAGGCTATGTATTTGTTACTATATTATTCACTTCATATGTCAGATAATAATGTTTATTTCTTGATTTAGGTGTTTACTGTTGGCAGAATTTGTGCTGATCGTACCAGAATTTATCATAAACTGAAACATTTTAAATTCAAACTGTACCAGGAATGTTGCTCCATTGCAAAGACAGAAGAAATTGAGGATGAACAGGTTAAAGAAACAGTGGAAAGAATTTTCATTCAGTCAAAAGAAAGTGGCTGGATTCGGGAGGTAACGTGAATATATAAGAACTGTCTCATTTTGTAGATTCTGGAGCCTAATTATAATCAGCAAAAGGATACAAATGATTAGAAGACAGTGAAATTTAAAAAAGAATCTCTTCTTCTCTCTCTGTCTTTGTATTTTCTCTTCTTCCACCCATTCCTTTCATGCTTATCATTGTCCTGCTCTGAATAGATACCCTGATGTTGTAAGGATTCACTCAGCTCATCGGATAAATTTTAATGAGCAGCATATTGTCCCTTAATAAAGGACCTCTGTCCTTTGACTTTTACGTATGTATTTCTGACATATATATATATATATAAGTTCCTTTATTTTCTTTGACAAAGTATAGGACTCACCTCTGCTTATCTGCTTCCTATTCTTTAGAACAGTTCTTGTGACCTGAGAGTGAAGAAGCACCTGTTGCCAATCTGAGGAAAGGATGTCAGCTTCCAGTTCTAATACCACCCACATCCTCTTCTTGAGGACATGGGACTGAGCAGTGAGCACTGTAACTGAAGATCGAGGGAAATGCAGAGGTTTCAGGCCACGGCACTGATTTTGATTCCCCCAGATCCTATTGATCACTAAATTTGATATCAGGGATAAAGTGAGGGTTTTGAAGAGTGCACTGGATTCCCGAAGATCTGCTGGCAGCTCATAAGCTCTGGTCTGCTCACAGAGCTTTTAAAATTGTTTATGGTACACGGAAAGAATGCTAATATGATTGCAGTCTTCTAAAATAAGTATAGTTACGTGAATGTATAAGAGAGAGCAAATAGAAGATTTTCAGGCAATTCAGATCAATAGTATATTTAATCTTTAAAGAAAGAAAGAAAAGAAAAAAGCCTGAGTTGAGATCCATTTCCTGTGTTATATCATAGGGAAATTTGTAAAAGAGGAAAATAAACAATAAGGCAAGAGAACTTAGAAAATAAACTTATGAGCAGAGGGAAAGAAAAAAAGAGAACACCAAATCAGAACTTCTTATGACATGTCATGTTCAGTGGAGGTCTCCCAGTTTAGAGAATGACATCACAGTTGGTTTTCCTTTTGACAATTATCATCAAACCAAACCACCACCCACTGATCTTGCTTGCCTCCCACATCTTGATTTTTATGTCTTCGTTCTCATTTTAATCTCTTCAGCTTTTTATCTTTTACTTTGCTTCTACTTCTACTCCAAATGCTTCCACTGTCCTTCTCTGTGCTTTTCCATTTGCCTTACAGGAGAGCCATCATTTATACGGTAACTCTCATCTTCATTTTCCTAGACAACATTAATTTTTTAGGTGCTTTTATTGATGACTTTAAGTGTTTCCAACCTTCTAGTGGAATTGGGAAACCTATCAGGATACCACATTTATAAAGAATTGTATACTAGGTATAGAAAAATCACTGTGTAAGTATTATATATATTATATAATAGTATTATATATGGGGAAGAACATTTAGCTTCTTGAAGAAAAAACAAAAAGCATTTCCAAATCATGGGTGTTAGAGAAAGCTTAACAAGGTTTGGGACAACAGAAGGGCCCTGGAATACGAAAAATATTCTTAGGAAAAGAAAGCTAAGTGTCAGATTATGCATAGAGAATAACACTTAACATTGAAGGCATTTCAAGATTGTGCATGTTTAAAACAATATGCACATCTTTTTCATGTAAAAATACCAAAGAGCTTCATTTTCTTTTTGAAATTCCCCCCATACTGAAAAATATTTGTCCATAGACTTTTTCAAAAGGTTTCTTAAAATACATAGTTTATAGCCAATGTAAATCCACATGCAGCTTTTTGTGCTGTGATTAAATTTCATTGTCAAATGCTCTGACATTTCTCACCCTCACTCTGTTTATCCCTCTTTCTGTTCCCTTTGCATGATAACACTGCATGTGTTCTTGTAATGCATGCCTTCTTTGGCTGCAGTCTCATGGTCTCAATTACTCTAACCCTTTAAAATGCCTGGGGCTCAGCGATACTTGAATGCCCATCTCTGTGGCTCTTCCCTCCCAATTATGTCAACTCCTTCTTTTGCCTGACACAAACTATTTGTTCCTCTTTCTGACCCCATCTTGTGTTTCTCACTTGCTTTTTCCCTTACCTTCCCCTTCTTCTCCAAACATTTTTCTTCCATTATCTCAGGATATCTCAGCATGTCTTCCCACAGACTTGCCAACTAGACTGACTTCATTCTTCTGGTTCTTCCTCCTAAACCTTGAACTAGGGTGATCTGTTTTTAACCTAATGACATTAAACGGATATAGGAGCACCTTGAGTATAAGAAAAGAACCAATGGAAGGAAAGTTGTAACAAAACCAAAATATTTAATAAATATAATATATGTCTCCTCCTAAAGTAGAGCTGAAGAACGTATTCTAATATGCCACTGGCAAAATTCTAACAAATGTTTTGTCATTGAGAAGAAAGTGCATATGATGATGGGGTTTTCTGAGCAGTTGAAGCCAGGATTGTTAGGATGAGATGGTGGATACATGAAAGATTGTTCAGAAAGAGTGGAGAAAGTATGTCAATAGAAGTATCAAGTGCCAGTTTTACAGTTGTATTTAAAGTAAATTTGAAATGTATAGATATTATTATATCAATAAGAGTTTTAAATTATAATCAAATATTCCTCCCCTTCCTTTTAACTCTTCTTTTTCTTCCCCCTCTTTTTAACTATTTTTCATTTCTCTCCCTGCCCCCCCAACCAATGTTTCTCAGAACGTGGACTTAAACTACCTATGTCAGAATCACCTAGAAGTTTGTGAAAAATGTATACTCCCTGGCCTCACCCCAGACTTATTGGCGTGTGTTAAACACCCAATATTTTAAAAATTGGGTCATTCTTAGTAAGTCAAAGATTGAGGACTGCGACTTAAAAGTCCCTGTTGCACTAGATTCTGTCCTCAGCCTCTCTAAGCAACCTTGGCAAATCCATTCCTTTCTGTGGTTCTAGCTGCTACTTCTGAATAGAAGACTCCAAACTCTTTTTATATTTTAACTTCTTTCTTCCACTCCATTCCCACAATTCCAACTGTTTTCATCAGTGGGTCCATCTGGCACTATAAGAGAGTAGTCTTCATTATTAAAATAAGACCCAAATGCTCCAAAGTAAACTTTCCAAGTAGAAAAGAACTGTGGAAGCGGCATCTTCAGGTGGAGAGGACGGCTGAGTGATGCTAACTGCCTTCTCTCTGAGTATCATTTTACCTTTAGAGGATTTTCTTTTTTCTCACCAAGACTGCACCTCACCCCCACCCTTTAAATCTTGGGAATAGCATACTATAACAGTTAAAAGCTTGGGTTTAAATATTTGCTCTGCCACTTACTAGCAGTAGAACTTGGGGGAAAGTTAATTTATTTCTCTAAGTCTAAGTTTCCTCATCTGTAAAATAGGAACTAAAGCAATAATAATAATAATTAGGGTTTTGATTGTGGATATTAAATGAATAACACATTTTAAGCATTTAGTATAGGATACAGCAATTAGTAAGTGATCGATTTATTACATATTATTTGTAATAAAAGCAAAAAGAGGTTTTTCTGCCTTTTCTTAGGATATCTGAGATAGATTTTAATTTTCCAATAGAAATTTAATAAATTATAGAGAAAAAAGGATATAAAGAAAGATATTATAAAAGGCATAAAAATAGCCAAGCCTTTAAAGTTTAGGTTTTTATCCTAGAGTACTTTTTTTTTTTTAACATCTAATAAAACCTGTCTGAGTACTAGGCCAAGAAAATCCATAAGTAGACCTCAGGTTATTTTCCCTATTGTTCTTTTCTTTATTCTTTCTTGAGAAGGTGATCCAGTCAGATATCATGAGATATAAAAAAGGGTTTCATAGCCTTGTCTAGAAGGAAAGTGTACTCCTCACATTCCTTTCTATAGGTCCTATCCCGCAAAAGTCCAGGTTATCAGGATCCTCTCTCATCTCATTGGTGGTAGAATCAGAGCTCATAAACAGAATCCAGAAACCATTAGATCATTTAATCTTTTCAACAGAAGTAAGCACTTTGAACTCTTTATGTCTGAAACTGAACTCATGCATCTCTTTCCCTCCCCCAGCCTGCCTGCAAAGTAGCCCTGCCATTAATCCCCTACTCTTTCAACCTTGAAATATCTAAATCATCCTTGCCTCCTCTTAACTTGTTCTACCCTGTTCTTTACTCTCCATTTTCATTGCTGTCACTCTAATTTGGGCCCTCATGACCTAAATTGTTAACATAAACTCAGCTAGTTGCCAAATTGTTCTAGAATAGCTGTTTTTACCAGTTTTCTTAAAATACACCTCAGATCAGGTCAGTTCCCTGCTCTACAACCTTTAGCAGCTTTTCATTGCCTGTCAAATTACTGCTGAACTCCTTAACCCAGTGTTTTATATCTTTTATTTTCTAACCTCAATCTCTCTGGCTCAGTCTTATCTCTCTCTATTCCCCTAAAACAACCTCAGATGTAGTCAAATCCCATACTTTCTTGTCATGTCACTGTTGGATGGACTGTTGTCTCTTAAAGAAAAACTCTCCCCACCAATGCTTTGCCTATCAAATCTTTTTTCTCAGGACAGCTTAAGTGCCAGTCTTTCCTGGTTACCTCAACTAACTATGACCTCTCTTCTGAACCCTCGTAAACTGTCTATTCTTCATTATGGCACTTATTACTGACTGTCACTGATGCATTACTACTGAATGCTGTTCTCCTTAGGTGCAGGGAAAGTATCTTTAACTTTGTACCTAGGCAGTCATTAGCAGAGTATTTGATATGTATGTTCAACACATTTTTGTTGAATAAGTTATTTAAGTTATTATATTTATACAAAACAGGATAATAGAAAAATTTTAATTTACAAGACAGTTATGAAATTAATAATAATATTCAGCTTGATCTCTTTCCAATGCTTTCTATGAATTAGAAATATTTATTTGAAATCGAGTTTCTGTTTATAATAAAAAGATTTTTGTTCACAATTACCATGAAATGAATTTGTTCCTGTTTGTGTCTGTAGTTAGAAAAGGCCTAGCTTATTTTTATTGCTTTGAGTAAAATAACTAGCTTTTTTATTGTATATGCAGAAATATGATCAACTTCAAGAATATCTCAATTTTGCGGATTACTTTCAAGATGAGAAGTTTGACTGAATTGTAACACATTTCCTTCAGAGAAGATTTTATAAATTCCTGTAAATGTGAAGATCATGAGTCTTGTTTCTCTGTATCATGTGACATATTTATATATTTTATGTATATCTTCATTGCAAAATATCTTGTTCAAAACCTATGTTCATCTTAATTCCCATCAAATGGCACTCTACAGTCTAATAAAACTTTTATCTGATGTACATAGAAAACATAAGCTTCATAATTTTTAAGTTAGTAAATGTATTTTAAGTGATATAGCACTACGTTTATAACAGGTAAATGAACTGTTCATGTCCTGTCAATTCAGTTGAAATATATTCTGTTTTTAAAATGTATTTAGACTAACATCTGTGTGTTTGTATCGCTGAATCCCCTGTTCAGGTGTGTTGATTACCCTTTTGCAGTATTAAATGATTTTCACTAATATGTAAATCTGTGGGCCATGGAAGAAACCTCAGTATATCATTCAGTTCAGTCTTCTTGCCTAAGCATGAGACCACGGCTTACCTATTCCAAGTAGAGGATTGTTTTTTTTTCCTTTTCTAAATTTTCATTTATAAATAGATTTTAGACCTCCAGAGTCTTTCATCCCTCATATTCAAGAATAATTTCATGATATGCATTTTTATACTTTACAGTGTTCTTCCTTTGTTCTATCCAATTTGATCTAGATGTTAATGATTAAGATGTATTTTATTTATTTTTACTCATAACTTTTCCTGTAGAAGTATATATGTTAGGGTCAAAAGATCTGAGAGAGACAAATTCAGCCAAAACCCCCTTTTAAAAGCATATTTTGGTATCTGCATTGCTTTGCACATCTGAATTTTCCTATAATATAATAAAGTAAAACAGCTGCAGAGTGAACAAATGGACCCTGTCTATTCTATATCTTTAATTCTTAAACGTAATATTCTAGTAGGATCTATTCTTTGAATTCATGACAAGAACCTCATGTATGTGTATACATACAAACGTACATTTTACTAAGTCCTTACATGGAAATTAGCTAATAGCTTCTGCAATCATTTCCTGGAATTATCCCTATTATTATTGAAAAGGAACTGGGTAGAAAAATCTTACAAAGTGATGAGGATGCTAATGCTGATGCTTAATGTAGTACATACCTTTTTCAAAAGTGTGAAATAGATATTTCAGTCACATTTATATTCTTATTCATATTTCTCTGACACTTGGAGAAATAATTTTTAACTAAGTTCCAGGAAATAAAAATAAAGCCATAGTTGAAAGGTGAAAATGAAGGAACAGTGTCCAAAAAGAAACAAGGCGGAGTTAGACAGGAAGTGATAGTCGTGGTGAAAAGGTAAAGGACGACAGATGATTTGTAAATGAAAGATAATAATCTCTAAAGTGTGTCTGATGACCCTGGAAGCATCATTTCTCATATGTGATGCTACAGACAAGCTTGAGATAGCTGAAGAGTGAAAGAGTTCCAACTGGAATTTTTTAAAAATTTATTATTTTTAATAGCATCCAATTAATTTGTAAAAGTATGGCACTAATAATTCCAGCGACTTATGATGGTAGCTGACCCAGTTTGTAGGTCAGGCATCTTGTTGGTTTGAAGCTGACTGTTGATCACAGAATGCTTATCAGTAGTTTTGCTGATGTCTCAGGTCATTGCAACTAAACATAGTACCTCAGTGGGTGTTTGGAGAATGCAAGAGGATTTTAAGTACATGGTAACACCAAAAGAATGGCAGAGTTAGGCTGTTAGGAAGTGAGAATTAGCATGGATCAGGGGACCAAAAGCAAGTAGTTTATAAGCAAATAGAATGTTGGAAAAAAATCTTTACAGGTATTATGACATACTGTATTATATTATCATCATCGTCAATATCATTGATTCAATTATAACACTAAAAAGAGTTTGTATTAAATCTCTTGTCATCTCACATGACTGATTTTTAAGATCTAGACATTTATTACTATAGTGTTAGGTGCTTTAGTGTTAGGTGGCTATGGATAGCAGAGATGATGAAGACAGCAATGGACAAGTAAAAGGGAAGCAATGCTTGAAAGAATGCACAGGACTATACAAAAACTTTAGGTTTGTAAGAGAAGGGACAAAACCATAAGACAGGAAGAACACAGGAAGAAAACATTTATTTCATAGGCAGTTGGATTTAACTGACCTTATTTCTTGACTTGTCTGCTCTCATATTCATTTGAGTAGTTCTATCCACTGCTTATTCCTTGTGCGTATTATAGGACTTGCTTAGACTCCAGAATGTTGACTGAAGGATAGTTGTAGTCCTTAAGTTACTTTGGGAATAGTCTGGCTTTCCTATAACTTTTCACATTTGATATTGAGGCAGCAAGCTCAGTGGTTAAGAGAGCACAAGTTTAAAGTCAGTCTTGAATTTGAGTCCTGGTCTGTTACTTCCTAGTTATATGAACTGGAACAAGTAGTTTAATTTTGATAAGCCTCAGTTTCCTCATCTATAAATAGAGTTAATAATATCTGTATCTCAGGATTGTTTGTGGATTAAGGTAGATCATATATGCAAAGTGCTTTTTTAATAAATAGTAAAAAGTGATTTTTTAATAATAGTAATAAATAGATGTGAATAGAAATGAGGATGTTGATGGTAATGATGTCAACTTGAAATTAAATGGCTATATAAAGGTAAATGTGTGCAAGACACTAAAGTGTCCTGCACCACTGGAATATAGTATGTTTATTAAATTCTTGCTTCACAAGTTTTTAAGATATGTCCATGTGTAGCATAAAAATCAAAATTTATATCACTTAGGAATAGCTGATCTGACCAAGGACTCCATGTTATTAATCAAAACCCACGTTACTGCAGGTCTATAGAGTGAACAGTAAATTTTAAATATTATATTTTTTTCCTCTTTTATCAGTTATGATTGCTGAATGTAAAATATCCATAGTAGTAGAAAGAAGATATTGCCTAATGAACACAACTTTTTAAAAATCAAATATAAAATGATAAAAACTCCTTCATTTTTTAATGACAACTCATGCCAGAATTCTCCATTTAAATTTTGCATGTCTAACAAAGATATATTTCTGCCTTTCTTCACGAGTATGAGGAACTTCTCCTTCGAAAGAACAGATCAAAGTATGCTCCAATGAAAATTTTAAAAGTTATATCCCGTCAGCGTGTACTTGTCTCCATCTCCAAGCTAACATTCCGGGATTTGTGGAAATAAAACGGGCTAAATAGGACAGAATACAGGAAACTAAGTGGTAAATAAATCCAGTCCTGAAATGCGTGCATTGATTTTGCCCATTTATTTCTATCCATAGCTCAGTTTGAAGCAAGACCATGTTACTGAAATACCAGTGTTTAAATTAATAAAGCACCATTGCTTTAGACCCCAAATCCAAATGACTTTCAAGTTAGGACATCCAGAATACTTTTGGTCCTGACTGTTCCACTATTGTGCCAACCTTAATTTATTCTCCATAGTTGATGATGACAAACAGAATCCACTATAAGGTTTGACATTGTAAAGGTAAGGATCATCTGAAGATGAGGGGACAGTGGTCAACGTGAGAGATATATTCGGTTTGTATTATCAAACTTGTTGAAACTCAATTGATACATATTGATTTTCCTCATTGTTTATGTAAACTGGATAGCTATGGATACCTAAGACCTTGCATTTGGTCTGTCTTAGACAATCTTCCATTTTCAAATAAAACCCTTTTTTTCTTCTTCTTCTAGGACTAGTATTGGTAATTTCATCATCCTCACAGAATATTTTATTTATACCTCCTGATTTGCTTGTGATCACCCTGATTGACATAACCAGGGACACACAGGCAAGCAGTCGGGCAGGTAAACAGTCACCACATCCGCCTGCCCTTTAGGAGCTAACAACGCGATTTCCCCTCTTCTTCATGTCCACACGCCCTCCACCCCCCCCCCCCCACCGCACACATTCACCATCCTCCTTATATTAATGAACATTTCCTCAAGTGCTCACCCAGCTCTCGCTAGGGTGCTCAGAGGTGTCATTCACAACATACTGAAAAATGAAAATGATATCCTCCGGGGGGCGTAATGTAGGTTTGAAAGGGAGAACACATTCCCCGGCCGGGAATTTCTGAAACATTTAGAGCTAGTGAAATAGTCGCGTAGAGGTTGGGGAATTTTCCCAGCCTTCCCCCAGCAGCGAGTCTGCGGCTGAGCCGGGTGAGGGCTGCTGAGACGCGCAGGCTTTGGGATTCACGTCTTCGGCCACTGGGAGGCCCTCTGCGCTCCCTTTCCCCGGTGCCTGGCTGCGGCGATTACTCACTCACGCAGTGGCACCCGCCTTCCACCAGGGAGCCCGGAGCTCGCCCGCCCGCCC